ACAACATTCTTGTTGTGATTAAAATGTATTTAATGAATTCTTTGAAGTGAAGCAAACATGATATAAAGAACTCCCACTACCCTTTCATGAAAAGATTTGTCTTAGTTGGAAGTCTGCACTTGGTTGAAAGGAGGCTGGGGACTATAATAGCAGCAGCATTCACACTGGGGCAAATTGATAGTGTGATCTAGTTTTCAGACTCCCTTTTCAAGTTTTGTTCATTCTTATTCAACTGGCGCTAATGAAAGTTGTGTGTAAAAGGTGTGTTGTTATTTACTGCTCAATTAAAGCAATGGATTGCAGATATGGTAAGTCAAGGTTTAGGAAATGGAGTGTTTAAGTCTGAGAGTGAGCAGGATTGAGATATGTGAAATGCTTCTGATCTGCTCTTGTCTGTCTAGTCTACATATGAGTACAACATTTGTCTCACACAAGGAATTTAGGCTGCCTCCTGAGTGGCCTTTTGCGATAGTTTAATTTTCTTCTGAATTGACAGAAGCCTTAAAAGTATGAACTTCCATTTTTACCTGTGAATGACCATTCTTATAGTCTGGAGTCTTGCACTCAACTTGAGCTTCACTGGAAACTTTTCAGAATTAATCTTAGAAAGACAAACTTTCTTTGTTTGTGCCAGAGCTCTTTACAGAAGTTTGGAGGAGGTAGATGCAGGCTATACCTCATGTATCCTGCTGAGACTTTTTGAATGTAGAAATAGAAATTTTGGCTTCATGTCCATTGTTATATACAGACTACTAGCTGGGTGAAAGATTTTGTATGGCGGGATTAAAAAAAAAACAGGTCAAACTCATCTGTTTAAGAAAAAATTGATTTTGATGCAATATTTCTTTTCTTTTCCTTTCTCTTTCATTTCATTTCTCTATGATTTTTTTAAATAATAAAAATGAAAAACTAAAGAAAAAATAAAACATGACATTTCTCATTTTCAAATCCTGAAAAAAATGTTTGATTTTTCTTTATTTTACCTTCCCCTAATTCTTGTTTCTCTATCAGAGAAGAGAAAATATAATTGCTAAAGAGGAAAAAACAAAACAAAAAAGATTTCCTTTGTCATCTTTCCTTCTTTTCAGTGGGGGAGGTAAGAGTGGGACTTTGGCAAGAGTAAACAAATTGGAGATAGGGAGTGAATCTGGAAAGCAGTATATTTGATTTTTCTTTTTTAAAAGGAAACACAAAGCCATTTGGTGTGATGATAATTTTTACCAGACAGCCTCAATCTGAAATGTTCTGAGTGGTTCTTTTTACAAAAAGAAAATTTGTTTTCTTTGACCAGCTCAGAGTATTTCTTGCTCTTGTTTCAAATGTTAAGCAATCTTTTTTTTTCCTTATGCAGCCAGAGTACGCAAATATATGCTTTTGGTACATTCCACCAAGCTTAAGAAACATGAAGGAAGGAGCTGAGTTCTGGGAGAAACTTCATCATGTGAGTTGTACATGTACAGTGTATGTGTAGCTTACTGATTTATGAATGTATCTAGTGCTAGGAAAAGAAAGGAAATAGATCGTGAATGTACCCGCCATTAAACCATCAATAGAATGTTGTTTTAATCTTTAGATAGATGTTGGTAGGATTTTTAAGTTTATTATTCTTTCTATTTAGACAGGGCTAATTAAGTTTCTTTCTTCCTAATGTAATAGATGTAGACAATTATACAAGTTTTTAGCTTACTATCAAAGCTGTTAGCAGATGGCAGAGCTGAGAAAAGATGAACAGTATTGTCTGCATTTCTTGTCTAGACAGCATATTCATTACCTATTTCAGACACTTAACATTGTCCTTGGGACTTGTCTTGCATTATCAGTGGATAATGTAAGCGAAGAAGTGCTTAAGAATACATTTCTGATGTTAAGCAACCCATCAAGGAATTAGCAATTGAATGGGAGAAATGTAATGGTTAGCTTCTTGCTAACATTTGTAGCTCTGAGATGTTAGTAATTTTATAGAAAAGCATATGTCCTTTGATCAATATGTGAATTAACTAAAGAGGGACTTGTGGTTAAGATTAATTAGGAAAGCAATAGAAACTCTGATATTTGTGTATTACTGGATAAGTAACTGCAAAGCAGTGAGGCAACCTGATTGTTTCTCGCTCTGTGGAGGCTTGGTTGTGTTTTGATTTACATTTTTACATCTGCTAACTAGACAATTGAAACTTGAACTTGAGTGTTCTTATGTAAATCCCAAAGAAGTATTTTTAGAGCCCATCGCTTCCCGGCAGTACTTGCTTCATAGGAAGATCTTCTTTGAATTAAAGCACAGTGCTGTTGCCTTTGAGCGGCAATTCTCAGGTAGTATAAGTCAGCACTGCTTCATCCAATACAGCAGAACTCCACAATGACTGAGGTTCTAGTCCAGAGCTCCTATCTCCAGGAGTTTATAGACTATATGCAATATACCGTGGCCTCAAGCAGGGAGAGGTGAGGTTGAAAGATGGGGGGTGGCAGGGAAGGGATTTCCATATGCCAAGTTTTCACAAGGCATCATATGCATTGGTGTCAAATCATGATGAACTTTTCATAAGATACTTCCATTCTCTTTTATAAACAACTGTACAGTGTCGGAGATCAGAGCAGTGGCCGGTCAGCTACTTACTGACTCCCACCCGGAGTCGTAAAACTGTCGCCTCAACAGGCGGGTAGTGATGGATGAGGTGAAATTAACCAGGCACAGACGCGTGTTGGTTACAGAAATTTGTTTATTTACGTCGCTCAGATAGTGACGCGCGACGCAGGCTGAGCCTTTGTTCCGTTGCAGTTTTTCCAGTTATAGCGATTATAATCAAGCGTATGGTCTCAGGTTACAGCTAACGATACAATGATTACGATCAAGCGTACAGTTTCGGGTTATAGCTAACGATGACGGACGTGGCACCGGGAACGAGCTATCGTGCCTGCAGGGCTTTGATACGTCAATATTATGCTGACGGGAAGCTATTGACAGCTGATCAGACTGTCAGTTTACTCTGATGATGATCTTAGGTTTCTCCTTAGAGATTTCCACAGAGGTCTCCCAGAGTTTCTCCGACTTGGGCGGAAGTTGCTAAACTATTTATAGACAGAGGTGTCTCTCAGAGATATCCAATGATGAACTGCTAAATGGAATCTGTAATAGGATAATAGAATTCTCAGGCCAGTTTCAAGTTTCGTTTCTCGTTTGTGACGTGGGCATAAATTATATACAGCTCTCCACCAGGATTTTGTTTTAACCCTTAGTTGATCAGATGATGGTCTGAATGGTATCTCTTGCAAGTGACATGGGCACTGATTAATTTGGTTGTGACATACAGTAGCTTCTCAAGGTAATAGTACTTGTGCTAAGACAATGCACAGAAGGAGCAAGGTCATGATTGCCAACTTACTCTGCAAGGGTCTTTGTACATGCAACAAAATTGGCCTTTAAAGTGGCTTAAATGCTTTTTACACCACTATAATGGCATTGCTGGTTGCACGCTTGGTGGCATATTCCGCTTTAAATGACTTCGTAACATAGCAAGATAAAACACCTCCGAGGTGTTTAGTTTGCTACCTAACAAAGTGCAACAGTGTACAGGGCACTGGAAGCTGCCGTGTTTGGGGAAGCTCGGGCTTGGTGGGCTTCCAGCGCCCCATGCACTGTGCCTGCTGCCTTCTCCCGCTGTCAGCACACCAAGCTGCCCTCCTGCTGCTTTGTCATGCTGCCCCAGGGGAAAGCCAGCCATTCCCAGGTGGTGGGAAGGCAGCAGGGATGATGCAGGGGTCCTGGAGCTTACCTGCCTCTCCCATGGCAAGGGCTGGGGAATTTGCAAGCTGCTTCCAGATTGCACAGTCCCTGAGCTGTGGGGGATCCTGGTGCTTTCCTCCACGGCAGCAGCAGCCCCCAGGCGGCACCCTCCCACTAGCACCTGGCCTGGGCAGTCCTTGGGGGCACTGCACGGGGGCCTGGTGCTTCCCACCGTGGCTGCGGTGGGGCCAGTGCTTCCCTCTGCTGTGGGAGAGGCAAGTAAGCTCTAAGGATCAGGCCCCCACCTTTGTGTACATGGCATGGGGGTTAGTTCAGTTTAGTCCTCACTAAATTGAAACGGTGGGTTTTTAAAAACCCACCATTTTAATTTAGGGAGAACTAAACCAAATTAAACCCCCATCATGTATACAAGCACTCCAGCTGCTTATATGGCAAGGCTGGAACAGTGAAAAGGAATAAAGGGATATGGATAGAACTGAATGAGCAGCATTTAGCACATGAAAAGCCCTGAGGTATAAGGATGCCTTCTTATGTCCAGGTCTCCTTGATGTTTCCACTGGAACATTGCAGCTCCATCTCAGGGCTGTGATGTAATTGGCACAATTTAACCTGTTCCATTAGCTTTTATTTTTATAAATACGGTGAAATACTTGTGACATTGACATGGGATCCTAATGGAATTTGAGGGAGGAAAAGGAGGTGATAAAATACCCTGGTGGAAGGATGTTCCTTGCCACCTGAACCAAAAACCAGCACCATAAAAACCACTTCCTTTTCTGTTCCAAGTATGAAGCATGTTTCTTTGACTTTGCCTTTTTGAACATAAATACATAGTGATATGTAGATTTAAAAATATACTTCCAATAAAAAAAACAAAAAACCAAACCCATACCACTGCATGCATTTCTCCCCAGGCAAGGAGAGGATGCCAGATGAAACAACTGACACATTACTAGAAGATGCTTAGGCACTCCAATGATAAGCCCAAGGTTATAGAAAATAAGTGTTTTTCCCTTCACCTTCCCACTACTCCAAGGGATAAATCTGGGCAGAAGGTGCAACAATGAGTGAGAAGGGGGGAAAAGAGGTTCAAAGATTTAAAAATCTGGGGTTCACACTTTAATTTACCACCATCTATTTGAAGTTCCTACACAAATTCACTCTATTGGCAAATGGTTGCCTTTTATAAAGCTGCTTGGACCCAATCCATCATTGTTCCATTTCAAGGCTAAAAAAATGTGGAAAGGGAAAAGGTAGTAAGAAATGCCTTCCTTACTAAGAAGACTTAAAGAGATGAACAACTGAAGACAGCAATGTATTGCCATTATTCAGGGTGGGGATGCATATGATCTCTTTTGTAACTTCTGGCACTTCCTGAATATCTGCATTATTTCACGACAGTGAACATTAAAAGAAGATAATTTACAATCTGGTATTTCATACCTTGCTAACACAGGAGTTATTCTATTCATGCAAAGATCAATCGTCTACCTTTCGGTTGACCTGAAAATCTGTGAATGAGTAACAAATGTATCTCTGAAAGCCCATGTGCTGTTCATTGATTTATTAAACTGCATATGCAGCAATAATCTCTGAATACTATTATATCTCCTAAGCTTAGTTATGTGAACTTAGTGCTTGTGAAAGATGTTAAACTCACAACACTGGGCTCGGACCCCAGGTCTTTCTCAAAATTGTTTACAGAGGCATAAAGTAACCTTAAGCCGTTCCTGCATCCATTCTAGTCCTTTCAGTCCACTTTATGAAGGGATTGTATCAGGGCTGGTTAAGACCTTAATGTGATATTTCATTATGATTTCATCCCTGCAGTTGCTCTGCATGACTTTTTTTTCTTAAAACATTGTTCCATTTCAAGGCTTTACTGTTTCAGCACAAAAATAGAGTGCAATCTTTAAAAAAGATTCATAGTATACAGAAGGGCATAGAAATGGAGGAAGGGAATGGATTTTCTTTGTCTCCAGAAGAAGATTCAGTAATGTCAATGCTAAAGCATCCAAAAAAGATTTTAGAGAATAGAAAATCATGGTGCTGGACTGTTTAAAAAAAAAAAAAAAAAAAAAAAAAAAAAAAAAAAAAAAAAAAAGCTAATAAGAATTATTAGTAAGGTGAAATTCAGCCTGTTTGGGGAGATTCAAAAACTTTTAAAACTATTTCTAAGACTATCAATGAGTACTGAAGGGATCTTAAGGCCCAGCCTTTCAGTGCTAGATGTTGTATACCCACAGTGAGCGTCCATGTCTTGAAGAGCCTTGCGTTGCTGTAAGTGCTTCTAAATATCCATTGTGCCATTGCGGCAATTACATCACCTTGAAACTATTGCAATACTTAACACACACAGCAAACTAAAGATTCAAGCAAAATGTCTCTCTAGGATAAATAAATAAATAAAATAAAAGAAGAGGATAGGAAGGATTGTTTTCTTGTGCTTTTGGGTTTTTAGCTTCAATAAACTAGCATCCTGGTAAATGGGAAGCTATTGTTACACTCCTCAGGAACCATAATAACTTTCTAGTAATGTTTTTCATGGCAAAATAAGGGCAATCACTTCTAAACAAGAATTGATGCAACTCATTGGGTGAAGTGACAATCTTGAGTTGCTTTGCTAGTAATGTATATGCCCCCTGGTGGTACTTCTGTTCCTCTGTTTTGCAAACACACACCTATAAATAAAATGTGCACAT